CCACGACATCAAAAAATCTGCCGATTTTATAAAAATCGTTTAATCGGACGGCGCCCGTTTTATTTGTGACCTAGGCATAAGAGGCGACTTAATAAGTTTGAACAACTGGATTCTCTGTATCTCTAAGATTCAGCATGTGATGTGGTTTTGACCCATGGTGTTGCTTTCAAGTTTGAAACACCAGAGGTTAGCGAAAATCATCTTTCCTGTTTTGTGTTGGTGCACCGTAGCCCCCATTCCTCTTAAAAATGGTAATAACTATGGCATCTCAATTATACCTAAGAAAAGTGAAATGATAAAAATTAGCAACATAATCAATGTTATCCTAAATATTGATAAAGTAACAATGTGAACAAAATGATTAAGTATATCAACATCATCATTTCGTTGAATATTTTTTCTTTGTACTTCGAAAGTGTTGTTCATAATATACATAAACGGCTTTAAGTTATTAACCAGATATGATACAAATGACAGCTCAAAGATATTCCCAATTTAGCTTCGAAGGTACAATCCTCAACGGTATAATGATGATACAAGCTGTACAATAATGTGTCTGCTTGGAAACTAATATTTGTCAGCATGCCAACATTTATATCCAAATAATACGGCTCAGTGGGTCAGTTGTATGTAAATTCATGCAGAACATACTGCTGATTTCTAAAATGGATTGCAAGAAAAATTTAAACAAATATTTTTTCTTTTCAATCAACCCTTTCGCTGCCAGAGGGTTATTGTTTTATTGATCACCTATTTGCCAGAGGGTTTTCTAAGAAATTACTATATTATTAATTAATATAATTATTATTATTTGTTATTAGTATTTTAATAATTATATATGTTTCAAAGTATGTTAGTATAATAATAATTATTGTCAATGGTATAATTTTCTTTATATTTATTATTATTTTTATTATTATTATTATTAATTTATTATTATTACTATTATAATTATAGAAACGGCTAAAGCCGTCCATATGGCAAATACGCCGAAAATAACAGGGACGGCATAAGCCGTACCTATGGCAGTGAAAGGGATAACATTATAAATGTTATCACTTATGACAAGTTTAAAAAAAATAGGATCTACAAATATCCTATACTCATAGGTAAATTATAATATGAAATAAAGAGTCATGTGTCTTCAGCAATCATATATTTTGTATGTTATCTATATGCAAATTGTTTGGTGTGATTGACAGACGAATTTTAAAGTTATAACGCTAAAGTGCACATTCCCCAGAGTGAGTTTTAATCTTCTCAACTTCGTTTCTATAAGTAGAGGGCTGATAAAAGCAAGGGCAAATTTGGTCACACTCTGATTGATCATTATTTAGTTTGCGTATATTTCCTTTATAAAATCACTTCCTATGATATAACGAGATGTCATATGCGCATATAATAAGCAATATAGAATAGAACGTTTATAAATGTGTAATACAATAAATTACGTACATTGTGCATATAGACGTATACGTATGTACATTTGTATATCATATATGATATATCATAGACACATAATTTTCAAAACATACATGTAGAATAAATAAATAAACATATACATACATTTTTTGTGAAGAAACTAGGCTAGTAACTATATAAAAAGACTTAAAATAACTGTTTATTTCGGGAATGTCTAAAATTTAAAAAAAAAATACCCTTGATTTAATTACGCTTTTGTAACATTAAAATTAGAACTACAGAACAGACCCAGATATATCGACTGAAGTGCATAAAAATAAGAAAGGACCTTAATATTCCTTTTTTCATATTATATTCTTATATTGATAATAATAATAATCTTAAAAGTCTATAGAATGTAAGCCCTGCCTACCTACGCACCATCCCCTAATCTCCCCACCCCCTTCCTGCAAAAAGAAAAGAAAAGAAAAAAAAAAAGAATAAATTTTAAATAAATACGACAAATATATTTTTCTCAAATGAAATGAATCTCGGCGAATAAATGAAATGAAATCGTCTAGACCAAGCATACTTCAAATATCCGTTAAATCAAATAACCTTGGTAAAGTATTGGCATGTGTCAATCATTTATGCAAAACAATAGCAACCTGTTTGATTTATAATACTGCAACAGTTTTGCAACAATCTTTAAAAAATATATCTAACGCGTGAAAATGATTCAAGACTATTCTTTGTAAACAGAAACTATTCTTTTATGATTTATTTACATTCTCTTAACGTTGTATGATAACCAAATACCTGACGGATGATTATGATTAAAAAATTTTTAAGAAAATATGTATGTCTAAAATAATTTTTAACAATATGTCTAATGTGTCCCCTTCTTTGTCATTTACACTGGTTGTCATATATTTATGCATATCGGCACATGTAGGAACTTAAGGTGTATCAATTATAGAATCACTCTATATTTATTTTGTTCATCTTTCATCTATGCAAGCTGTCCTTTTTACGGTCAAAAGTTATAATCTGGTTGTTTATTAACATAGTTGGACATAACATATTTCGATACAACATATTTGAATATACCATATTTGGATACATTCACGCATTGCTAATTTAAAGATTAAGTTGATATAAAAATCGTAATAACGGGTAATCTCAAATCTCAAGCTTTGAAGGATCTGGATAAAATCTACGATATCTATAAGAAAGGAAGAACACAAAACAAGTGATATATTATTTAATAGTTTATTTAAGTCTCATCCAGTACATGTGCATATAATACAAATACACATCTAATAAAAGTTAAAATACATATAAATGGTCATTCTTATAAAGAATTATAAGAGACTATATGTATGCTGTTACAAACATATTACAAGTATCATAATATACAATCCAAATTTAAAGGGTTAGGTTAACATTAAGAATCAGAGTAATTAATCTACATTGAAATGATCTCCACATTTCAGACATTAACTTTAAAACCTAGCACAGAAAGGTATTTTACATAGTCATATATCAACTTTGATTAGATCAAAGATGAGCTGACAAGTAATGATTATCTGACAGCTAAGAAGAAAAAAAAACAAAAAAAACAACAACAACAACAATCCCCGACAAATTCAGTAAAAGTAAATAAAATACATATATGAGTAGTTGTATTATGTATGATAGATAGTATTACTTAACTATTAGATAAGAACTTAAATTTGTTACAGTTTGACAATACTTTAAAACAGCTAATATGTTTAATTCTTTACAAACTGATATTTCTTAAAATAATACAGCTAAGATCTTTAATTTTTTAAAAAAAATGACAACATTAAAATTAATAAAAAGTGTTAAAACTATATAAATGTAAAATGACCTTATTATAATACAAGCATTTTGCAACTTCTCTAACAATACTACTATTGGAAAATAACGATATTTAACTTGTTAACATCATTTAACATAAGAAACCCATTATTTATATACATTGCTTTGTCGAACAAACTTTGTCTGATACATGTATCTACATATTGTGGCCATTTCCAAAGAACGTTTATTTCATTTACTACTTCTGTATCACACAATGTACATATTCTATCATTGACTACTAGTCTTTCATATAGACCAGCTTCTAGTCTAATTTAAGCGACTCCACAACGAAATTTGTAAGCGCCGATTTATGCTTATATGGAAGAAATACTTTGATATAGTTCCCAGTCTCAAAATCAAATTTGTAATTCCTGCATGTTCTCAATTTATATTTCAAGACCTAACGAATTGTATAACCCATGTAAAGATTCAATCCAATTATCTAGATACTGGTTAAACTAGTTTATTTGAAATTTCTCTAATAATGTCTGCTTTTATAAATGTACATTTTTTACAAAAAACATATTCACTACAGTGATACTTTTTGAACAACACATTTACTGTAAAGTGACAGTTTAACAATGCATACCAGCTATATCTGCATTGTTAAAACTGTTACTTTACAGTTTTACAGTCACTTTATCTATCTTCTATTTAATCAAACCCCTGACGGAGACCAATACTTTGCGCGTCACTAGTAAGACGGATAAAAACAGGTGTAAATGCAGAGTAAAAGTTTTAAAAGATAAAAACAGAAAGATAGATAATATTATTTTCGTCTTTTTCGATCTGATCTGATTAAGCATGAAAAAGGAGATTCAATGGTTTATTTGTATTATTTGTATATGAAATTAACATGAGTTATCTTATATATGATAAACGCATCTTTTACTTTTTAATAATCTTAACAGCTTCATTCACCCCAACCATTTCATAATATTTACACATTCGTATCCCTTAGAGTAAAAAAGGTAAGGCCAACTTCCACAACTTTTTCCGGCCATTCATCATTTTCATCATTTCGGAAAATCTTTACAACATGTAAGATGTTAATAAGGATCACCTGCAATGCAGAGTATACAACGTTTTATAAGAAAGGAAGACATAAAACAAGTGATACAGTCTTTAATTTCCATATGTTTTAATTTTTTAAAGATTTCATGTCAACTAAAAGATATTCAATTCCACAATTCAATGATAAATGAACAAAACTATTGAACTGTGTGCGCACAACTAAACACTAAACCGTTTTTCAGCACTTGGTCACAAACAAAATCACTACCTTTCGAAGGAGATTCAGTAATCTTAAGACTTAGCAAATATATTCCAACAAGAACAAGCAGATGCACTATTTATTATTTGAAAGTAAAACTTAAACGGCCAATCAAAATTAGAACAACTAATACAATAACAAACCCCTTTATATCAGGCATTTTTCAATTGATTTCAACAATGTATTATTATATAATTATAGAAAGGTTTATTTTAAATGTTCATTCATTTTGGTATGAAAATAACAATAACACAGACTTAACTAAATACACAGATATATAAAACAAAACTCTACACCCTACAAGAATACTAAAGTCTGTAGTTCTAGACAACATAAGTACTTTCAGAGCTTTGATTACACTATGGATTCACATTGTGCACAATCGCTTAGCTCAATAGAGAGAGCATCAGATTTACCATCTTAGGTTCCCCGGTGCAATCCTCTGGTGTAGTACATGCATAATTTCTCTTGACATTTAACCTAGAACATTGGGTCTAATGGTCTAATTTGTCTCTCAGTAGTTAACTCGATAATTTAATGCATATATTACAAGTAAAAAAATGTGAGTGACCAAGTCAAACTTATATTTGTCGAAACTTTGTGTGAAAAATTAATTTATTTTAAGTATACTCACTAGCAAGACCAACAGCCCTGTTAGAATATTTGTGAACACATGAAAAGTAATTGCCTGAAACAGATTATTGTATAAAAATATTCTAGGTTTTCTGGATTCTTAAAAATAGTTATACATTTTACACGCATTTAAATGTTACAGTATCATCTTTTCTCATATTTTAATTATCTACATACAAGAGTAAAAATCTAATCATATTCAAAAACCTAAGATATTTATAATAATATATCACCTGTTTATATTCGTAAGATAGCACAGCTTGATATGTTGCAAGGCAGCCAATCATACAACCCCATAAAAACTGCAGAATATCAATTTATGCACAATTAATTAAACAAAACTTTAAAACAACTAAAATTTAATTTAGTTATTTGTATTTGTTATGCATATTTTGTTTTTAAATATTTGCTCAATTCAATCCTCTCCGTGTTATTTTCAATTAAAAAGCAAAAATCGAATAACATTATGGGACTCCACTGCAGTTTTTTGACATGACATCAATGGAAATAATTTTTCAAGATTAATGTTCCATTTGATGAATGTTTAGATAAATAACGTGTATTCAAAATGAAAAAACCATTCGCTCTCAATTTTCATACCTCTATTCTAATTGTGAACAGCTGACCCAAAATTGGAAGACGTTGCCACGCTTTTCACGCAAATCCGACTAAGAGTAGCAAAAATACGATATTCAATTTATTCATTTATTCAGACTATATTTCTTAATTATACTTTGCTAATCTTTCTCTTTTATGTGACCCAGCTGCTCTAAGAATGTTATGATTTAGGCTTTCAAATCTCAGTAAAGTTCCTTTAAGAAACTCCTTTTGCGATTTTATGATGTTTTAAAAAAACGAAATCAGTCAATAAAAGAGAACATCAAACTACTTACGTATGCAGTAAATATCCTGGACATCCTAAATTTAAAATTACATTTGATGTAAATCACAGTTGATATCAATTGAAAACAAGCATGAAGTAAGAGCACTATGTATATTCCTCTCGCGCGAACACATTCTTCACCATAGCGCTTGAACATTACCACACCTGCAACACCAATGCCTGCAAGTACAAAGCCTTGTGCCTTAAAGAAAACAAAAACAAATTCAATTACATTATCATTCTAAACACCTGTGCATATACACATGTATACGCATTATATATGTATATAAAGCAAAACATATTTGCACATGTTCCAAAAGAAACAAGAATGAAGCAAAGATATATTTTTTACCAAAATCAGGCGGGTGTCATTAAATATTTCAAACAACTTGTAACTTCTTGGTACTTACCATTCTTAGTACCTACCATAAGACAATAAATTTACAACGAAGCAAAGGTGATTTACAGTTTTGACAATTAACACTGTTATATAAATCTGCTTCGAGGAATAGTAAGTAAATTATGTTAGTGCATTAGCAAATATAATGGATGTTTTAGTTATTGTTTTATGTAGACGAATACTCCTAGGATCATTTGAAGAAACATGTTTCTAAAAGAACAAAATGTAATATTTAATCGATATCAATTTGATATGTGTAAGAATAAACATTATTCTATTAGTGAAATTAAATGAAATGCATCTTGCATGTAGAATTTATTAACAATATTACCAGATATAAAATGTTTGCCCAAGTACATCTTATGTATCTCTTTTCCATTGTTGTTTTTCTGTTTTGGTCTAAAATATATAAAAATCTGGACAAAGTGTGATCCTCTGAAGCATTAATCACATCAAGATTACATTTAAATTGCAGAATCTGAGTCTGTACATGAGACATAATGGAATTCCCTAGCACCGGCTTAAGCGGAACGAAATTTTTATTGAAATATATAATTATATGAAAGAATATATATATATATTGATCAAAGTCTAACAATGTAGAAAAATAAGAGGTAAATGATCAAATATTAGTGCTGCATAGACATACAGATGTTATATCGTATTCTTTCAAAGTATGTTATTGAGTGAGAGTTTCATGATCCTTTCCAGAAAAATCTACACTGTCGCCTTTATTTGTTAAATAAGTTGTTGATTTTTATAATAAACGTCACCTGAGTATATAAAAAACCACGTGACTCACATTAATATCTACAAAATCCTTCAGAACTATTCAATTTATTCAAAGAGGGTGGCAGTTTTTAAAAAAATATTTTTAGACAGTCCTAACATTTGTAATTTTTGTTCAATCGCCATTAAAGTAAGTCATGTACAACTAATTTATCTCAGATTGAGATGTAAAAATAAGCGTAAATGTCGTTTTAACTTTTCATAACTTTAAACATTCCCAAACAATGTACTTTTTGTATTGAATTTGTATTAGTATATGCTAAATAAAGTCATATTTTGAAATAACATAATCAACTTAAAGCGTTTTTTTTTATTATTATAAACATTCATTGTATTGTTGTAATAACTTTCATAACTCCGTTGCGCCGATGAATTTTTGCAAAACGGAGAACTTTTTTTCAATACAAAACAATGTACTTTTTTTTATCTCTAAAACAAAAAATAATTAAATAAAAGTTGGTATTGTTAATATTTTTAACATATATTGTACATGTTTGATTTTATATTAGGTAGAATACTGACTATATCAGATTCTAAATGGACGGCGAAAATGACATATTTTCGGCGCAAAGTAAAATAAAATTTTCATAACGGGTAGATCTTATGTTTACAGATAACTTAAATTCGTGAAATAAGCAATACAAATTGAGAATAATAAGTAATAGCCTTTTAAAAATGATTTACTTTCCTTTATTTTGGAATGTGTGTTAAAAATATATTATTCTTAATGAATTTACATGACGGCGAATTGGACATGTTTTCGGCGCAACGGAGATTTTCATATAACAGTTTTATGGTTTTAGCTTTTCATGAACAGAATAAGGTAGGTTTTAATCAATTTTATTCAATCAGTATAAGTTTAAATTTATTCGTTATAATAATATGATAATATATATTAAAAGCAAATTTCAAATTGGGTACTTTGTTCGAACAATAGGGATAATTTGCCAAAAAAAAAAAAAAAAAAAAAAAAAATCCGTTGCGCCATGAAATGTCCATTTAACCAGGAACATAACTCTTCAATGCAATTAAAAATATACAATTTATGAAACATTTGAAAACCAACTTTCTCACAAGAGCTAAACATTCATTTTAGATGCTCAAATGTAACCTAATGACTTAAATTAAGGCGCTGTGTCGTTTTTTTTACTAAAATAATATCTCCATTGCGACCGTTGCGCCAAAAATCTCCATTGCGTATTTTTGTAGTACCCCCACACTAATTGAATGTTTCATTTAAACTGGTACAATTAGCTCTAATAATGAAATTTTGATATCATAAATGACGTTGTGTCACATAGGCCGATATAACATGAATATGACGCCTACTTTTTGCATATTTTTAAAAATATTTCATTCGAGCAGTTTGTAACCCGACATTATGCCTATGGTATGGTATCTAGTGAGTGAGCAGGTGGAATTCAAAGCAAGTTTACATTTTATTTTACCATAATTCGTTTCAATTTATTTTAAATTTACTTCGCATGAACAATACATAAATTAATCATAATGAATGTCAGATACACGTACTTGTCTAGCAAGTATCAATATTTGTTCAATTTCTTTATTATTAGATAGGTTGGACAAAGAAGTTATACATTAATCAATATCATTGGTGCGTGATCAAATTATGCCTAGATACATACATGATCTGAGCAGCTGAATTGAATAAAGAATCAATAATTGTTGCATATTTGTTTTACAAGGTCCTTCACTTGAACAATAAAAAGATTTCTCGTCGGGATTCGACCTACGTGACCTAAATCTATTGGTTACGAGAGATTGCACACAATAAAGTAATTCTAAGTGAAATAAAATATAAGTTGCGCTTGAAAATTATATCATTTTGTAAAGTACAAGCGTAGGTACACCTAAAAAATATAGATCATTGAAACATGCTTCGTCTTATTAAAATATGATAAACAAGATCAACATACAAGGAAAGGTGACGTTCAATGAACGCAACCACTACACGGTGGGGGGGGGGTTTAATATAAAGAAATAAAACTAGGGGCAAAGGGGAAGATATTTTCCGTAGGCGAGAAAACAACAAGGGACACAAACAAAATTGTCACCAAAACAGTCTGAAACAACAAAGACATACATCTGAGGAACACAGAGGGGCGCCGCCTTGGAACGGTCAGCAGCATAAGTACTGCTGGGGAGTTTAAACCTGTTAGTGGTGCACCAAACCTCACTCTTAGTCCCACCATGATCCTATGAAGAAGACAGTGTAAATAAAATGAGTCCCCGCCAAGTGAAAAACTGAGAGTTAATATGGTTTCAAAAGTTGAAATAAGTAAAACACCGAAATGTTCATGTAGAAACATATAATAGAAAACCCAGTGACCATAACAAAAGTACTCAATGTCTTAAAGGAAGACAACTCGTGGTTCAACCCTTTTGCTACTTTCGTGTTTATATTATGATAATATAATGTTATAAATGTAACTCATAGTATTATTCAATTCTCCAAAAATGATATAAATTAACATTTATGTATAATATCATTTAAAACATTGCGGCCCTGTTGTGCATATGATATAAAATAATTACGATTATCTGTGTTACTTTTGTTTTGTTTATTTTCATGGTCATCCCTCTGTATTCTCAAATGTGTACAAAAAATCATTATGAAGACAATTCCGTTATTATCATCTGATATTGCGATCGTGGTCGTATAAACATTTTTATATGATCTATAAAATGAATAAAACTACGGACTTACAACAACACAACTATATGGCTCTCATACACGATACGTGCTGCCTAAATGGAAGCAAGGTCATTTTCAAGAGAAAAATATTTAAGGACATAAAATGGAATTGCTATTTGTGGCAGATGTTGTGTAAGATTATGTTTCAAATGACTTTAACAAATTACCTTGTATTATTATACTAGATAAAATACTACAAAAATACTACAAAAACGTACAAAACACAAACAGCTAATCAACAAGAAACTTGGGGTTATTTTTAGCATGATCAAAACATGTATAATGTCTGTAACAGACTAAAAATTGAGTAATACATACAATTCTAACTGACATTTGTTATATTAAATATGTCTAAATTAAGCGAATATAAAGAACAGCTTATCATCTTTATATAAATTTACCATTCATATGTTCAGCATAAAAGTTAATTGTTTAAACAGTTTATCAAACGTCTAACTTTGAAATAGAAATATTTTAACATTCTGAATAAAATGAATAAAAAAATATAAATTAGATTTATTAACTTGATATTTTAATTACATATTTGGACCAGGCAATTTCTTCGTCTACAATTAATTATTTTCATTGTACATGTACATCTTATGCAGATTTTGCTGTAGATTCATATGCATATATTGATTCATCAATATGCATAAAGGAACAGGTTGAATGCCAGTAACAGGACACATGCTTACTTTATTCCAATGCTTTTTGAGAAAATCTGAGGTTCAATTTGCATGTCTTTTATTTCTTTTTATGTTAGAATTGTTTCGTGTTTCACCACATATTAGTATGCTAATAACTAATGAAATGTCAAACACAGCACATAAAGAGGCATTCGCGTTCGGTCGCTCGCATAAGATTGCTAGAAAAGTCTAAGGACAATTTATTATGTTTGTTTTTAAGACATTTTATCTATACAAGTTTAGGTAAACTGTGTAAGCCCAGGAGCATGGCATATGTTACTTTTGTAAGGTCCTATTTGTAATGCTACATGCCAAAAAGCTCGAATTGCTATTGTAGTTTCACAAAAAGGGGAATAATATAAAAACGATAACGTAGATTGACAAGGCAAGGCGACGTTCACAGAACGCAGTGCCCGACTTGACAGTAACTTGACATTACCAAATGAGCACGATTGAGGCAGGACCAATTGTGATCTCAGGGAAATAGTTTATATATGTAGATTCATACAACGTGACGTGATGCAACAAGCAAATATCTAGGCTCTGGACACAGTAGTTTCTGTAGATAAGATTGTAAAAAGTTATTTTAAAAGTCTTTTTGAGCTCCTGTGCTTACTTATGAATCAGAATTAAAATCTTTTAAATAATACAAAGGTCCAAGTCCAAGTAAAATTTGGTAAAATTAAAATAAGTGGTTCAACACATCTGCGGATGATTCTTAATTAAAATTTCATGTTAAATGTTGGATTCCGCTTAAGTCGATGCTAGGGTACGTGAAAGGTAGCTTGCATTTTCCAGTACCGATCATGAACAGGCTCAGTCAAACCTGCAGCAGTTCAATATTACCGTTTTGATCGTTCTTAAGAGACGATTTATTTCCCTTTTTTATGTGTAGATATTTTAAAAGAAATTGTGGGTAACGATAATTCAAATGGAGACTGACTTCGAACTACAGACAAACTTCCTATCTAAGTGCTGAAAACGGAAATCCGTATGCTATTAAAACATTATTCGGAACGAAGTAACTCTTAGTAATTTTACTACTTAAAATAGATAAATACAGAATCCCTAAAGAAAGCCCAACACGGCAAAATTGAAAATGTTGCAGGCTCGGTTTGATTGAGCCTGTTCATGGACGGTAATGGAAAGTGCAAGTTAACATTTAACACTTGAGTCATTGTATATTGTAAGAATAAATTGATAATTTTACTTTGGGCTGGTTCATTTTGTATATCATGACAAGCTGAACCTTTTTTGTTGTGTAAATACACATGTATCATGGAAATTACACACAGTCAGAAAATACCATGAGTTGAATGCGTTAGGTGAGAGATACAGAAAAAGGTCAAATGGTTTGAATTCTGTGTAAAAATCTGGAAACAAAGTGATCCCTCGGAAGTATTAATCACAACAAAATTACAAGAGAATTGCAGACTCGGTTTGATTAAGTCTGTACATAAGGGATAATGAATATGTGCGTCATCCCTTACGCCCCCTAGCACCGGCTTGAGCGGTACTCAATTTTCAACCCTTTAAAAATTCATACCACTGGCAACCAATATGTATTGATTTGCACTCTATGAGATGCAAAAAATAGAGAACTGTATTCTAAATAAAAAAACATTCCGTATGGAAAAGAAATGAGGCACCATCATTTTCTCTAAATCGGAAAAGATTTGCCCGAACTGCAAAACAAATGCAGACAGAATGCAAGTATAATTTATGAATTTTTTGACCGGAACAATTATTGCTTAGAAATCATGCAATAAACCGACCAATTTTACTTACAGTTGTTCATGTGAGTATGCAAATAATATTAAAAACGCTCACTTTGACAGATGTTTCGTAACATTGCATTCTTCTGTTGCTTAATGTACCACAGATAAAATGAGCTACTAAAGCATGATTCCTATACAGTCCGACCCCGGTTATTCGACAACCCTTTATTCGAATACCAGGCATTATCCAAAGTATATCGGTGGTCCCGTTTTATCTAAATATAAATCAATATAAACACGAACGTATTATTCGAAATGCATTTATAATTTATCCGTATACCTCCTATTTTTCAAAGTAAAATATTGGTCCCGATATTACACTTACACCTATTATTCGAAGCCAGACTTATTGGCGCAGATCCACTCGATAAATGTTCGACTTGTGAAACATTTTCAACAGTCATGATTGTATTTAGAAAATCATGATAATTAAGCGTGTTGCTAGATATTGCGTGTTCTGTAAATAACTTTATTTATCGAAAATGAATGTATTTACATAATCCTGTGCATTTCTTTTTTTACTAAATATGCTTTTCTTACAAAATATGTTCTCAGCAAAACATTAATATAAAAGCACATAAAGTAAAATTGAGAAAATGGAATCCCTAAAGTACGTCCAAAACGAAACACCTGAATATGTTGCATGCTCGATTTGATTGAGCCTGTTCATGGATGGTACTGGAAAGTGCCACCCGTCCACAGCCCAATACCATGATCAGAACCAGAGCTGCATCAATACTACGGGTGTAGTACGTAAGTACCAATACCAGTACTTGCCAAGTTATGCAGTATCATTACCAGTACCAGTACTAGATTTTTGCTCAATACTGCAGTACCAGTACTTTTTTAAGGACGTAATTAAGTATTAGTACCAGTACCAGTACTTTTATAGATTCATCATATTTTGAATAAATGCACACTGCCAAACAAAAGTAAAATATCATGTTTTTTACATATTTTAATGATACAGTTTTTAAAACATTGTATTTCCATTTCGCATGTGTACACTTCAAATTTAAAAAAATGTAGACATAATTCAGCAACAAAATGAATTATTATTTACTTTAAAAGTTAACATTACTTTTTTACAACTTTAATGATTTAACATACTTTCACAAACATCACGTATTCATGTAAGTAACCAATCAACTGTTATGCAATGCAATCATTTTTCATTTAAAACACAACAGTCTTTTGTTCCCTTTAATACCTTAGCACCTCTGTTCAATTTATACAAATGTAAATAACAATTTTTTTTATGGTGCTAACAGTATCACTTGAAATAAGATTATTTAGAATAGAAGCAATTAATTAGTGTTTATCTTGCTCTTTTCTTTATAGTAAACACAAAGAGAAAATCTGATGACATTTTTATCAAAACAAAAGTTCTGCCTGGTAATGCAGTACCAGTACCACTTTTTAAGACAGTTATGCAGTACCAGTACCAGAAGTGGCAACATTTTGTTATAGTAATTCCGTATCAGTACTTGCAAAATTATTGCAGCATGTACTGCAGTACCAGTAGCAGTAATGAACACGGTGCATTCGGGAACAGACCATATTATTACATTTTATATACACATCTCTTGGCTGTATTGGTAATCAGGCCACGAAGACTATCCTAAGTATGAGGTTGCGGGAGGTGGACGATACCGCATCATTTGCCAAAACCTAGGGTTAGCAAACAAATGGCCTTGATTCAGTCTGCAAAAGACAATTTTTTATCTAATCTTTTGACGAAGGCATGTCTTAGGCCGCTATTCCATTTGTACGCGATCCGTGACCCGCGGCCGTGATCCGTGTCCGGTGCATGTCCGGAAGTACGTTATTTTCTATATACTTTTAATTATGGTATAGCGAACAGATGATAATTATTTGTAGAATATGATATAATTTCATTCTACTACCAAAACCAGTTGTAACATCAAAGAATTAGGTAAAAAGAAAAAGGAAAAACATTGAATACCAGTTAGGTTTTTGAATAACATCTCTTTAGCAACCGAAGCCAAGATTGTTTTTTTAATCTGTCATTGGTGGATCATAAACTTATGGGTTCTCCAACACTATTTTGGTGAGCTTTTTAGTATTTTCTTTAGAAATCGATAAAGTATTTAATTTCGTTCGAGGTATTCTGTCGTGACGAGACCTATCCGTTACTGTCCGCGTCCGTAAAAAATCGCTCATCCTGCCAAACGTCGCGGATGCCGTCACGGAAGCGGATTGTAAACGGACAAAAGGAATATATTCAACGTATTCTTTGATTAGCAAATCGTTAGCGGACGCGGATGACGGACGCGGACCTCTGATCACATATAAATGGAATAGCGGTCTAAGGCTAGATAACTTTATTGAAACAGTTGTTCCAAAAGTTAAATTAAAACAAGAGGGCCATGATGGCCCTAGATCGCTCACCTGACCCATCGAACTCATCCGAATAATTACCCAGACAAGCATTCTGACCAAGTTTCATGACAGCTGAGTCAAAAATGTGACCACTTGAGTGTTAACAAGGATTATCCATATTTGAGCAGTGTGACCTAGTTTTTTACCCAGGTGACCCATATTCCGAACTTGACCTAGAAATCATCAAAATAAACTTTCAGACCAATTTCCAGGATACTTGAATCAAAACAGTAGCCACTAAAGTGTTAACAATATTTTTCTATTTTTAGTTCAGGTCACCTAGTTTTTCATCCGAGATGAACAAGTTCAAACTTATCTGAGCAATGACCCAGACAAGCATCCTGATCATGTTTGATGATAATTGGGACAAAAATGTGACCGCTAGAATGTTAACAAGGTTTTTTCTATTTTTAGCTACTGTGACCAAGTTTTTTATTCGGAATAACCCATGTTCGAACTCATCCGAGCTATCACCTAGACAAGCATCCTGACCAAGTTTGATGATGATTGAGTCAATGTGACTGCTAGAGTGTTAACGAACAAGTGAAGACGGACGACGGATGACAGACGACAGAAGACGAACATTCAACGATTCTAAAAGCTCACCCTGAGCAAGCTAAAAATGAAAACAGTTTTTTTACCAGCTCTTTAAACTGGTAAAATTGGAAAAAAAATCAACCTAACAGTTCCAAATTACTGTCAACGAACATGCTGAATTTAAAACATTTAAATGGCCTCACAAAAAATATACGGATGAGCAAAACATATATTATGTAATGTTATCTATGTTATATGAATAAGTGGATTAGTTTAGAATGTATCATGTTTATTCTTATTCAGATATATGTCTATCTACAAAAATGTATTTATCTTTCTTCCATTAATGTCAAACCCCTCGTGGGGACGTAGACATGATTCTGAACTAGTCACTTTAGAGACAGCTATGAGATACAAGGGAATCCGGGAACCAGTCCCTGGTTTTTATTAAAAAGAGCCCTTGGTTCTTTTACATGCCCAGTGTATAGCACTGAAACATTCAAGGATTAATTGGATTTCTTACCAGCACACCTCTAGTTAGGTCGGAAACACTGAAAGTGTCTCTGAAAAATCTCAAGGGGGTTACCAAGGATCGACCCCGGGACCTCAGGAGTGACACTTTTGTCGCTTTCATTATATGCACGCTTATGCAAAATTAAAATTAACTTTATTATACAGTTAACATTCTGCCTAGATACTAGTATTTGGTTTGCGTGACTGCTGTGGATACTATCTTATGGTAACTCTTTTAGTTTTATAGGACCAGCGCAGTCACGCAATTATCTATCTGAAAGGTTCGTGATGGCGTAAAGGAGAAGGAATCCTTAAAGTAAACAATATTCACCCTAGATAAATCTTTTTAAAACCATTTCTAGGAAACGTACACATGACGAATGTCACGCTAAACATATTATCAACAATGTTAACCAAATAGAGAAAATAAGAATCCCTAAAGAATCCCTAAAGAATCCTAACTATAAGTTATTCTAAACTTTGATATAAGTCATAACTCTCAATTCTATTGATTACACAATATACATGTACAATGTTTATAAATAGAAAGAATGTAATGTAATACATTATAACATTATCAAAAAAGATAGTATTTAACCAAAATTAAAGGCTGTACATTGGTAATAACCAGGAACAAAACAAAAATGATAACGAAGTAACTACACTAACCTTAAAGATAATGTTTATCCTGAATAAATTTATTTCAAACCAATTGTATTAACGTACAAATGTCGAATGTAACGCTTGAACACAATGAAATTCATTTTTACATGTACTGGAATTGTTGAACAATACAATGGAACAATAGGTTAGTAAAGAAGTTCTATAATTGACTTATGTTCATAGGCATTGGCTGATACGGATATACATGTATATGAAATATGTTTATCAAATATGGATTTAGGACAACTTTAGTTAAAGGACTTAAAACGAAACAATAAAATTGAGGATATAAAAGTTGACGTATAACGTATTTATATAATTTAGGCACAAGTGACCTTGACATTATGACTCAAACACTGGACCGTCCAAGGTATGTTCCTTCCAAATATCATCAATAGGTAAAGGCTGTATAAGCAAGGATTAGAAATCTAGGTTTACACCACTGCTGACATTGAAAAACTGACCCCTATTCAATCCAAAGGAAGAATACCATAAAATCTTCCTACCAACTATGAAAGACATCTATCAATTAATAAAGACTATATGGGCAAATGTGTAAAAATCTATGATTGGCACTCTTGACCTTGACCCACTAGATTAATGGTGTATAAGCAAACGTTTAATTATCTATTTTAAACAACCCTGACATTGACCCACTGACCCCTAACTCAACCCAAAAGGAGAAAGACAATGCAAATTACCTTACTATTAAATATTAAAGGCATATGTCAGTGATTAAAGTATGTAAGTATGTAAAAGTGAATTTTTTTTAGCAGTGGTAATGACCCCTTACTCCTTCCAAAGGTAGAAACTTCTCAACTAACCCCTAAGATAACCTCCCTAGGGACGTCAGTATTAAGCAGGAATAACATCAATTTAAAATTAAAGGCTGTATGAAAAAAAAAGTAAAACAATATTTTTCTACACCAGTGACATTGACCACCCCAGTGAACAATTGCTTCACAAAAAGTGAGAGGACCATTGAAGGTATCCACCTACTAAATATGGAATATATCATAAAATAGATGATATAATCATAAGAAGTTTAATATAAATCTAACTAGCCGGAATAAGCTATTTTCAAAGTGATAAAAATGGAAAAAAACTGGGGAAAATTGATGGCAACATCATGTACTTTGTATTGATAAGTAAGTGTTAAGATTTTGAAGCCATAAGTAAAGATAGAACTCAAGAAATATCATATTTGCCGGTTTAGGATAACCATATTATTTTCGAAGTGCTGAAAAGGGCAATAACTTAGAAAAAAATGTAAGCCGTTTTTATGCAACTCGCCAAGATCATTTACTTTTTATTGATAAGTAAGCGACTATATACATGTAAATTATGAAGCCACTGGTAGCACTATTGAAAAAATCAACTTTTCAGTTTAGGTTAACCTCGTACGGACGGACGGACGAACGGACGGACGGAGGGATGGTTCAATTACTTTATTCCAGGGGGCATATAAATTATCGGATAGTCAAGTAAGTTATTAGCAATGTAATTGTGCTTCTTTGCGTAATATCATTAAACCAATCAATAAGATAACCTAGAACCTTTACCAAGTACATTTTAGATCTTTGTCGTTACTGCAGCAATCTGTCGACACCGGCCTCGGTAAAACGGTCTTTTATGTTACATATTGTTCGAAAATGCATCTGATGCATGAAACTGCTAGAATACCAAAGTAAAGGTAAATATTTATTGCGCAAAAATTCGAATTTATTTACACTTTTAATTTGAAGCGGAAGTATATTAAGTTTCAATGATTACGTGAAGATATCGCCAGAAATTTAAAGCATGTCATAACAAAATTGAAATACAAAATCATACGATTATTCAATCAATAAATAGCTATAAATAGAATATACTCTGTTAACATAATAACATTTTTATTATTCCGTGGTATTATTATGATTTAATGGGTTTTGCAAGTCATTTTTATTTTATTTTGCATTTTTTACAATAAAGCAGAATAAAGGTTAGTATAATAGACATAAGCCTGGGTATCGTAATGGTTAGATCCTCGAAATGAAAATGTTTTTTTTTCGAATTCGAATCGATAATATTTCGTGCATGTTTCTTTTTACATACTTTAGCATGATTTTTACTTTCTAAAAAGTCTTTATAGTTTTTCATTTGATTGTTCATTTTCTCTTTTATAAACGTTTTATCGTGACACTTTTTCAGTTTAATCATTCAGCTCAAATTTACACGTAGAAGAAATAAATGTACGTTATTTTATACAAAACTGAATAGTATTTTCTATCCTTTTTGAAATTCATTAGCCATATTTGTCATATTTGTATACAATTATTTTTATGAAATGCACAAGGAAGTAAAATTCAGTTAGATTAACAAAAGAATAATGTCAGATAAAAAACCGCCTTTTCCTGGACTCGAACCAGGGTTCTGTACATTAACGAAGCGGGCCATCTGGCTCTATACTATTACTCTTTGTAACGAAAAATGAGTAATGTTCAGGTTGTTAAGCGATAAAAAATATGCTTCACATGAGAGTTATCGACCCCCTTATATGTCAACATTGATGTAAACAGATTCTAAAAGAAATAGCGAATTCGAGCCATACGTGCAAATTTATTATTTATTGTTCTCTTCCCGTTTAGATTATCTATTTGACAAAATACAAGTAATTTTTGAAATTAAGAAGTTGATATATGTAAAACAGGTCGTTTTTATGCATTCCTTTCATCTCCGTGAGTATTTTAACCTTTATACGTAGACTACACAGCCATATTTTGTGTATATTACCTTCTGTCGATAATGTAGTCATGTAGTTTAGTCTCCAGTGACAAACCATTAAATTTTCATGTAATGTCATTAAATATTTCTTACTGTCATTAGTACATGTACAAAATAAACAAAGATTTATCCAATGAATAACTTTCAGCTTCGTTTTAGACCATCGCTGATTCCCCAATGGCGGATCAGTATCTCCAGTAAAGAATCACGTGACATTTTAATGCAGGGACATACTCAAAATAGACAATATTGTTAGAAAACTGCTGATTTTTATTAAAATGAACTTACATATTCAAACTGGCATATGAACATGACAATTAGATGTATTTTAACGTCTTTAATAAAAGATAGCCTATATTCTTAAGCATTTGCTAATAAATAAGACATGTGCTTGTGACAAATTGTTTATACTGTAACACGCCAAGAGTTCTTTGAGAAATTTCATCATCTTACCCTCAGTGACATTATCAAAACTTTTCTCAAGTATATTAAAACACACACCAATATCATTATCTAAAAAGAGTAGTGAAAAAAATAAAACAATGCCACCACCTTCCTGGTCTAAAGATGACCATGGTGGAAACCTAGGTACTGGGTCTCCAGTGACTTCAGCAAATATCTTGCCACCATTATCCGTGACATTTCCAAATACTTCACTGAGACATTTAGGCACATGTCCAATAGGTAAACCTGCTACATCACTTAACACTTGTTGTCTTTTGTACAAGTAAATTGATCCTGAATATGTTCCTGGAATGTTGCCAAAGGCGGTAGCCAGACAACACAAGCATTTACGTCATGGGTATTTGTGTACTCGCTATCAATAGTTGTTTTGGGGGACGGATTTGAAACACATGATAGTTTTTGATGACAGCGTTTTTCAGTAACATTTTTGTGGGGTTTGAAGGCAGTTTTCAATCAGGCGAATGGTCACGTCTGCTACTTGTAAGTCAGTCAGTAGAGGACCAAGACTGAAAATATAATATGTTATATTTAAGCAACTACAAATACAGTTTTTGTATTAATGATACAATATTGTATTAATAAGGTATAATAATAGTATTAGGCTATAAAAATAAAACACATAGTATTAACTAAATGCACATTATGATTATAACAGTATTCTACAACATATAATGATATGCATTACTTTTTAACTTGTTACTTAATAATCACTATTGTTACATACATAACTAATCAAACTGAATGGAACTTTGTGATTGATAAGTGAGATAAAGTTCACATTTTATTGTAACATATACAATGTGTTAAACAGACATAAACTAATATTCATCTAATGTTCCTCAATATAATGATATTTAGCAAGTAAGTGTAAGTTTTTATAGCATCTAGGACATAGGAATGTGTCATTTCCATTAATCTTATAATAAAGACAATCTGTATGGATCCATTACTAGCAAAGGTCAATTCTACCCACACTCTACCTAAAGCCAGGTCCTCTCATCCTCCTTATACGTTATGTGACAAGCTTCACAATATACGTCCTCATTATCATGGCTTTGGACGTCTTTCTGGAGTTTTTCACTTGCAGGCACAGGCAATTTCCCCTTTGCCGACCGTGTTCTCGAACCTTTCTTCCTGCTAGGACATTGCTGTTTACTCTTTTGTTTCATGTATTTCTCTGTTGCCTTATTTCCACAGCATAAAATCTTTTTATACAGAACCATATAATATTGAACTTACTACACTACTCCTGTCTGATTAAATATATGTTATTAATAAGATACTTAAATGTGAGTTGACATTGAATTTTGACAGACAAAATCCTATTTGAGACGACCCCGTGTTTCCCTTCATTGACTTACCTTTACTATGCTACTGTAAAGTCTTTGGAAATAAATACCAAATTAAATCTGCGCTGAATGACGTTTCCAATTTTTTTGTTTCAAAACGAGGTTGAAATTGTATACATGTCGGGTACTTGTAACACAGCATCATGACAAAATAAATATGTCATCATCGAAGCTAACCAAAGTGAATTCATATCTGCTAAAGGTCCCTGAAAACAATAATAGCGTTTAACATTTTCTTTGACAATAAAAATTATAGAAAATTAGTTTAACGCTTTTGATCCGCTACTGGAGATTTGTTACTGGCTACCAAACTGTATGATGTACTGATCTGTATTTACTACAGTATCGTTGTCACTTTTAAACGCTTTATCTATACGCTGTAGATGTATAAGCGAATAGGACGTGTCTAATTTTTGATTAGCCATGCCATTAACTTTAAACCTTTTAATATATTCACAAACAGGCGTTCGGTCTAATAATATACATATTATTTATACCTACTCTACAGTCAGATATTTTCGTTTGTAAATATATTCGTAATACATTATGTAACCTTACTTGTCAGTCAAAGAAATATTTTGGTGTAGTATTTATTAATTATTGATCTACTGTGTATAAATCTATATTTAGGTCTTAACGCGTGAAGGAACTATTTGTTGAGATTAAATAAGGAGTGCCTTTTTTAAAGAGGAAAACCCACCTTTTTGAAAATATAGTAAGAAAATGTAAGTATTATTTGTATTTAATATTACTTTATTTATATTTTTCTGATTCATTGATAATACAAATCTAGATATTTAGGAATAACAGACGTTTAAAACTACAATCATAAGTAATATTATCAAAGCTATTAGTAGGAATTAATTTTTTTCTATTTTCCTTTTTAAAGTCGTTACAGTACTCCAATTTTCGTTTGTTTTCCTAGTTTTAAGATACGATACACAGCGTTTTGACTTTCTAGTTTTTCCGTAGAAGGAAGATATCAGGTGCTCCCATCTGATTTACTTTAGGCGAGAGCAGGCACCGAAGTACTGACCTTCCCTCTTCTAATTATGAATGTCGTTAGGGAGTTGGATAATCACGACAACTATGTTTACTTCACAGCTCGTTAACTGTTCTGTTATGTCATGTCTTCGAATGAACTATTATTATTCGTTTTCGATATTCTTAGTTAAGCGATAGAACTTTTAAATATTTTTCTAGACTTACATAAATGTACATGGTCTTGTAACAATGTGACTGACTGTATATGAAACACGGACTTTAAACAGTTGCCTATTATTTACTACCCGTTTATAGCTCATGATTTAAGTTTCAAAAAGGAAAATAAAAGAATCCGCCGAATGATTTATTCGTTATATAGATTGCTGACAAAATAAATAAGGGTTAAAGTCTTAGTGTTTTGTACGAAACATTTCTCGCGCGTCACTAGGTTGGGAAATATTTGACTAAAGGCCAGGCTATGAACTGGCTCATTTTGGATACACGTGGATTAACACTTGTTTTCTGAGTCTGATCTGTAAGTTCCCAATTCCTATGTTCGTTTATATTTCAAGCTTAAGAAAGGTACAATTATGAATAATTGATTTAAAACTATGTGATAAATACTGACGGAACTTTACTCCCTCTTCGCTAGAGATAAATTCAGCACGTAATCCATTTAGTACCATTCAAAACGGTATAAATTGATACATTAAAGACATTCCTTGACGTTATACAAAGAAATGATGTACGTAAAGAGCGTAAACAAATATAAATTAGAGAAATGTGTTTGTATTATTAATAATTACTGCATTTTTCTTTTACATAAAATGTTGTCTATTGACTTCTAGCGTTTGGACCAAATAAAATTTCCAATATAATTAAATATTACTTCAATTCTTACGAGTTTAGCTCCGGTTAAATTTTGTGAGTCGAAAACTTACTTATAAAATCACTTTAATCTCGTTTTCATTTCATAGTATAAAAAAACCCATACCGAATCCTTATTGTATCGAAGTAACGCAGTTCTGTCAAAATGTAAAATGATAGGTGTGTCAAATAATGTTCTGTATTGTTTTCCACAATGTTTATATATGACTATCAGTTAAACCTTGTTACGACAGACAGCAAAATATAAAATAACATTGACCTCGACTCGGTGATATTGATATAAACAAATTACGTCATAAAGCGTGGCGCTTATACTCTAACTTCTTTTATTAGAAAACAATCGTCAACTGATTTACAGGATAATGGGTACCCGCCAACCAATAAGGTAAGAAAGGGATACAAATGCCGAAAAATGGAAACAGCTTCCGAGTTGCGTATTATTGTCTCTATGAAAAAGGAAATCGGACAACTTTGAAAAATTAATACTTGAAATTTTTATATTTACAAATATATAATATAAATAAAACAGATACTGTATGGCCTCGATGAACAACACATAAGCTTAGTCAATATATAAGGATATTCACCTCGTCATCATACAATAATTGTTAAATAGTAACTTTACAATATCTTCGTTGAAATGAAGGTGTTCAATTCAAAATTATATGGCCCTATTCGTAAATGTTTAAAAATGTATGTAAGAAAGGCCGTTTATTGTATTTATTCGGATGGTCTGTTTTTCTCTATTTTAGAAATGGATTCAAAAATTCCAAAGGAATACGGCAGCACAATATGCAATATCAAAACCTTGATGAAGAGTCTGTTTCTGGTAAATGTGATTCTTTAATACATTGTTTTTAACTTAATTTGGGTAGAAAAACGAAAATCCTTTTTTTCAAAACTTGTTTTTTCCATAGTTTTGTTTAACCAAAAGATACAGATGGTACATGTTCATATACAGTTTTATTTGAACCGGAATATCATTCCTATTTAACTCCATCGTATTTACTGATTGTAGTAAAACCGTTATGTATTACATGAAAGTTTTTGTAATGTTCATATAGACGTTAAATGTCATATCCATGTAATGGATTCTTGGTCCAAATGATGTTTGTAGTAATAGGAGGATAGTAATTCATATCATCACTACCGACTATGAGTCAAATCATAAAATGCAAGTCTTAAGCCTTTAACATTTAGTTTAATTCACTATTTTTGCTGTTTCCTTATCTGAAAGATGTATGTTTTCGTTTAAGGCTAAAGGCATTGACCTGGTAGCAGTTGGAATTCACGGTCTACTCACATACACATGCCCTGATGTAGAATGTCATCGCCTAAAGAACAGAAGTGTGCTGATCTTGCTATTTGGTTGTTTTCACCTGATAAGTTTGATTTGTTGTATACATTGGAAAAATGCACATACAAATTATAGGGTATTCATTGCATATGTAAGTTCTTTAACATTTATAACTAAATTAGATCCTTTTAATGCAAATAAAACGTTATAGAAATGAAATATTTCCGTGATGGGTAAAGTAACTCGATGATTTCGGTCAGAATTGGTCCAAAACGTTTTAAAAGGTTTATACATTATCCTTTTCTAAGATATGTAATCCGCTCTTGATATTGCAAAAGGCAATATAAATCAAACAAATTGTTATCATTTTTGAGTATTTAAATTCAATTGTCTTATTCATCATAGCGTGTAAAACAGAATGCCTAAATATACACATGTTAAGTGTTAAACAATATGCCTTAATATAGCGTGTAAAACAATATGCCTATATATAGTGTGTAAAATAAAATGCCAAAATATTAAGAGCGTTGACATATAACAACACACTTAAAATGAGCTATACAATTTAGGCACAATGAGGTACAGCAATTGATATATTGTTACAGGTGATTTAGATAGATATGATTCAATTTCAATTTATTTACAAAATGCACAAGTCCCACAATAGCGGGAAACATCAGCAGTATACATACATAAACATATACAAATACATAATGGAAAACGGCTATATTACATTTTTAGGATAATAGTAATATATAGTTACAATTTGGTGAGAAAAAATATATATTATAGTAAAATATTTAGTATGACTAATGGATCAAATAGAATGTTTACACCTTTCATAATAACCTGAACAAAACGAAACGAAAGCCTATCGAAAAAAAACAAAAAACAAACAAACACGAAAGATATCCAGGTTATAAATAGGTTCTAACAATTTAACATTCATTTCAGTATCATATTAATATTTCATATTAATGACTATTCATATACTTTTAACTAACTACCGGTACATCGACAAAAAATGCATTGCCAATAATTTTCATTAAATATTTTACATTTATTTACAACAGGTTTTATGTAGCTGTGGCTTCAGTGGGTTGATTTTATATCAATCAATAACAACGTATGAATATCTGCAGGTAAATGTTTTACAGATATATGATGATATAGATATACGATGATATATACGAGTCAAATATTTTTACAATATTTTTATTGATATAGATAGAGACTTAATGAAAGCTCTTATCACGAGTAATATTCTTATCAAATATGTATGCTTATCTTGGATTTAAACGAATATTTAAGTAAACTAAATATTTAATGGTGTCACATACCTTATAGGGATAATAATTGTTTTGATGTTTTTTTCAGGCACTTTCTCCGCACTTCTTATTCGCAATAATTATGACAGGCATATATAATTTGCTGGTGAGAATAATATTTTGTTTTTAATTAAAGTGAGAATATTAATAAACTCAGTTGTTTCATAGGTATTTACATGTACTTCCTTTGAGATTATCAAATCTATTTTGTCACTCTTATCACGCAGATATCATAGAGTAATTAAATAAACAGATAAATGCGATCATCCCTATATTCAGAACTTGTGTAAACCGGACTTAAGGAAATACTATAATCAGACGTTGCTAAACACTTAATCTTCAACATTTGTCAAAAAATACTTCGAAGAATGGTGCTGTTGTTATTTTAAAATAGAAAAGCTGAAGTCACTGTAAGTCAGTTCTAGATGGGGGAGCGGTGGCCTAGTGGTTAAGGTGTCTGTCTCTCATTGGTTCGAGCCCTACTTGGGTCACGACCATGTTTCTTCAAAAGACACCAGTACTAGTTGGTTCCAGGAAGCGGACTCGAAAGTGATAAATATCAGTTGCAAGAACTTGTTTCGCAATCGAGCTTAAATAAATATGTTTAAATTAAGTGACATCAACTATTATGCACTTATTTCAAAAGTTTATTGTAACGGCCACATCCAATGACAAATTTGGTGAGACTTTAAACAACGTTCAATCTTTCAACTTTCATTGCAGGTTTTTATTATTTGCTGCATGTTTTTGGTGGAGCTTTGTCAAAAAAAAGAAGAAGTCGGACGTTTTATTGTTGAATTGAATTTGGCCATTTATGAATAATTTAACAAGATTAGTTCGACTGATGGATCAATGATTCATCTGAGTTTTTTTTAAAATAATAAAAATAAAGTTTGTTCATTTCAGACATAAAAACGTTAAAAAACAAAATTTGTTGATGTAATGCACTTAACAATCGTGACATTATAAAGAGAAAAATTCGTTTGCACATTACTTGTAGATAAATAAGGTTTGCAATGACAAGCTATTGGTTTTTTGTTTCTTTTCTCTAAATAAGACCTTTTACGTTGACGATTATTTGCATATGTTTAAATATGATGCTATATATGTATTTCTTTTTTCAAAAAGTTAACTGTGATATGTTTATAAATTGTATTACTTAGTTTGTAGTATGTTGAATATCATCATTTGTTAATGCTCAGGATTTAAGTAGTGTTGATCTACTGATAGTATTTCAATTTCCTTTTAAAGCATTACATGTTGTATTATGTATTAGAACATACATTTTGCTATATGTGATTAATGAAGAAAAATTACACAATAAATCAATTAAAAAAAATACTTGTTCTTTCAACAAAAGACATAATTTGGAAAATGTCATTAAAATCTTGAAAAGCAACAATATTATATGAAAATTTGCAGACTTGGTATAATTGGGTCAGTTTATGGGAAATAATGTTCAACATCTCTCACGCACTCTTGTACAGTTTGTTTGATTGGGTTTTACGTCACACCGACACATTATAGGCCATATGGCGACGTTCCAGCCTTACTGGTGGAGGAAGACCTAAGGTGCCCTTCCGTGCATTATTTCAGGCACGAACGGGCACCTGAGTAGAACCACCAACGTTCCGTAAGCTAGCTGGATAGCTTCGTCACATGAAAGAATCCAAAGTCCCTGTCGTAATTCGAACCCACAGCGGTGAGATTCAAGTGGTTTGAAATCAACGACCTTAACCACTCGGCCAAGGACGCCCCCTCTTGTACAGGCTGTACATTTAATCAATGATGTTATATTTTCGATCCTTGAAGATCGTTCAGCACGACATTATTGTTGTGCTTGTGGTATTTTTAGTTTCAACTTTTCGGCATTTTCTAGTTGGGTGGTTCCAATATTCCTACTTGAATAATGTTGAATCACCCTTAGGATATGTTGCCTGCTTTTTAAATTTGTCTTTTGACGTCTAATCTGTGATACGCAGGCTTCATAACCTCTGATCCCCTTTCAAAATTCCATTTTATTTAGTTCCGGCCCATTGTTTTCTCGTTAGGGCACACGCTTTTTATTACTTGGGGACCATACGCCGCTTTTCATGGAATGGCACGGAAGTGTCACATTGAAGGTTCCATGATAACCGCCGTATGAACACATCTGCGGATGTTTCTAAATTCTAAATTTTACTATTTCATGTTTAAATGTTGAATTCTGCTTAAGCCGGTGCTAGGGGGCGTGGACGGTAACTTGCACTTTCCAGTACCGTCCATGAACAGGCTCAATCAAACCGAGCCTGCAACATTTTCAATTTTGCCGTGTTGGGCTTTCTTTAGGGATTCTGTATTTATCTATTTTAAGCGAAATAAACCCTTATAGTATGAATTATTTTACGGGTCATGCCGGGAAATTTTTGGCGGCTTTCTTTAGGGATTCTGTTTTTTTTTCTATTTTATTGCCATATCAGTGTTGTTTGTGGCGTATGGAGGCCGTAACAATTCGCCCCGTACATATAATCAAAAATATATTTTCAATCTTTGAAGATCGTTCAGCACGACATTGTTATTGTGTGTACATGTTTGTGGTGTTATCTGATCTTGTTTTTAACTTCGGTGGTTCAAGTATAATTTCTACTAGAATACTGTATAATAACCCTTAGGATATGGTGTCTGCCTTTTAAATATGTCTTTTGACGTCTTATCTGTGATATGTAGGCTTCATAACCTCTAATCCCCTTTCTTAACTCAATTTGGTGTTTTCCGCCCATTGTTTTCTCGTTTAAATTTAGGGCAAACGCATTCTTTTACTTGGGGACAATACACCCCTTTTCATGGAATGACACTGGCGTGTCACATTGAAGATATCTTAATCATTTAAACTAATAACATTACCTACGCGTGTATTCATCTTTTAAACGAATTACAATATGTATTTCTATTCAAATATCTTGCATATTATTCATGCAACATGTTACAAAATATATCGTGATCTTTGATATTGTAGTCTTAACTACTTTACTTTATGTTTTGCAATTAATTTGAAACCGCCATGGGAAATTCTTGATAATGGAAGCAATTGATTATTTACGCTATACTGTAGTTGACGTATATACTTTACTACCGTATCCCTTCCGGGAGAACCAGAAAGAGATAAGAAACATTATTTGACCTAAACATACTCACAAAGTAAGGACACGAGAACTGAATAAATGTGTTTCGAGAAAGTATTGGTAAGCAAAAACAATCGTATTAATGAAAACAAAGTATTTCCTTGAGCTTCAGGGTTTCCTTTTCGGGGTATCGGAATTGCAACCAATGTTAATCCCTGCGTGATCTGAAGAAACTACTAAATAGGTTAGAATTACTGGCAACTCTAAGCTCCAACAGGCGATGTTGTTTTGGCTCATTGTTTGAAACACCTGATATTAGCCAAATTCATATTTCCTGTTTTGTGTCGGTGCGCCGTAACCCTCTTCCTCTCAAAAAGGTAAATATAAAAACTATAGCATTTTTAATTATACCGAAGTATAGTGACATGATTAAAGCTAGCAACACCATAAATATTGATAAAGTTACAATGCGAACAAAATGCTTCATTGTAAAAAAATTCGTATGTTAGCATTTACCATAAATTTAAAAATAGTAATTTCAATTATTTCATGTGTGCTTATACAAAAATATTTCCAGTTCAACACCTAAATTATACCTTAAAGTATTGACATGATTAAAAAACAACATAGTTAATAAATTTTAGTCATACGTTTTGAGAATAAAATAATAGGTGCTTGTATCGGTGCTTGAATGGAGTAATTTGATATTTTATTTAGCACATATTCAACAATATTATAGCTGGGTCGTGTTGGGGATACGTTCATTGAATGCCACATATCCTTGGGAATTCGGAACAAATTTTAAATAGAATACACACATTGTCTAACCAGGTAAGTTTTTTTGCGATTTTCATGAGGTATATAAGCAATTTTAAGACGGTCTGGGCTTAATTTTCTGCCATAACTTTTTTTTAAATTTCATTATATTTTATGGGAAGAAGTGATGATCCCGCTAATTCTAGTAACGAACCAATACATAGAATGTTTTCGTAGTAAGAAAAGAATCATTATTAAGTGAATGAAACCGACCGCCTGAATAGATTATTCAATTATGCGGTTTTACTTTTCATAAACAAAACATTCCATGTACGTTTTATTCACTAGAATGAAATGATTCTACACAATACGCTTAAAGTAAAGAAATATGGAATAAAATAAAATCTGGACCATTTTTGAATTGGTTTCTTGCCCTATGCAGATTCTATGACGTCATGGGGTATAGGCATCAAGATACATGTGTATTATATATCTATTTTCAATTTTTTATTCAATGTTAATATGAAACATTCAATGTGACACGTAAATGCCATTCCTTGAAAAGCGTATTGTCCCAAGTAAAAGAATGCATGTAAACTCAACAAAAAACTAAAAAGAATAGGATTTTAAAAGAGATGGTTTCAGTATAAACTCTCAAAATAAAAGTTTAACATGCAGACAACATATCCCAAGGATGATAAAACAGTACAGTAAGCAAGTAAGGAATACTTAAAGCACCCAAACCCAAATAGACAGAACTGAAAGTATCACAAAGATGAAACAATTATTTCGTACTGAACGAAAATATGAAAATTGTGACTTGTTGTACGAAGCGTCTTTTTACGGCCTTCGATTTTTAAAACGTTTCTTTTTTATTTGGTTTATCGGATATTCAATCTGAATAACCTTACAACTAAACAACCAGAAATGCCTTCTTAATAACCATGAATACATAATAATACATTTCTTTGAATATTGTACTAAGATCTATACGTTATTAACCAGATATGATACAAATAACAGCTAATCGATCTTCCCCGTTTAGCTTCGAATGTACAACCCTCAACGGTATCATTAGGTAAAAGTTGTCCAACAATGTGTCTGCTTGGAAACTAATTTTTGTCCGCATGCCAACATTTATTTCCAAATAATATGGTTAAGTCGGTCAGTTAATATAACATACTGCTGATTTCTAAAATGGATTGCAAGGAATATTTAAACAAATCGTTTTTCTTTTCAATGATTAAACTAAATGTTATCATTGGTAAAAATATAAATAGAAGAAAACAAGAAGCAGTCTAAGACTTCAAAAGTCCGCGCGAAACATTGGAAAAAAATAAAGGATATTAATATTCTATTCGTATTAATTGAAAGTTAGATACACGCCAAAAGGCAATAACACAAAGAATACAAATATAATAAAGAAAAAAACAAAAAAATCGAAAGTCCTAAGGAATGTCCAAAACTGCAAAATTAAATTTGTTGCAGGCTGAGCTTGATTGGGCGTGTGCAGGAACAGTCCAAGAAATTCAGTGCAAACTACCGTCCACGCTGATATCCCGTTACAAAAATAAGCAAGAAACACTATAAAGGCATTAATTAGAAAATTTATATAATGAAAAATAATTGTTCATTTTCTCTGCAATCCTCATCAATGAAATTTATCCGTGAAAACGTTCAATCAAATATGAAAAACAAGGTCAACAAAGGAGGGAGGCATTCAAACCGAGCCTTCAACATTTTCCATTTTGTCATTCTGGACTTTCTCTAGGGATTCTTTTCCCCCCGCTTTTTTGATATATTTACCTTCACAAGTATTTGTAAACTGAATGACCATGATTTATATGTTTGAATATGACCAACAGGTGAAGCTATATGCAAACATACAAAAACTCTAAGCTTTTGGTATTGTTCTTTCTTAGAACAGGATTTGCAGGCAACCATAAGGACATGAACAGTTACTTGCAATTACCACCACCGCCGATGAACAGGCTAAATTAAGCCGATCCAGTAAATATATAGAGGTCCACTAGGCAATGGAACATAGTAAATACTTTAGCTCTTGGCATTGTAGTTTCACAATATAAGCGTTCCAATTTGTTTGACGTCAAACTACATTGGCCTGAATGGAAATCTAAAAGATAGTTAAGACGTATTTAAAGTAAAATTTGCCGCGTGGTAAGGTTTTTCGATAGTTAATATTGTGTGTTTTCTAAGAAACGGAAATAAAACGTTATATGTTCATAAGTAACTTTTATGCGAACCTTTGAGACAGTCCTTTGTAGTATTTCAGAAACTTTACAGTTGTATGAGTTTCGCTATTGAGAGACAACTAATTCAAAATGATTTCGTAATAACCGCCGTATGACACATCTGCGGATGTTTCTAAATTCAAAATTTTTACCATTTCATGTTTAAATGTTGAATTCTGCTTAAGCCGGTGCTAGGGGGCGTGGACAGTTACTTGCACTTTCCAGTACCGTCCATGAACAGGCTCAATCAAACCGAGCCTGCAACATTTTCAATTTTGCCGTGTTGGGCTTTCTTTAGGGATTCTGTATTTATCTATTTTCGTAATCAGCAATGTGAATCAAACTATT